CACCTGGAAAGATTACCCATTCTATACTGAGGAGAAACTGTTGGATACAGAATCCAGTTTCAATGGGAATGCCATGAGACCATGAAAAAGATGGCCCAGAATGAAGCTGAGCTTTCACTAATGTGCCACATCTGTATTCACATCAGGAAAAGACTGGGAAAGCAACATGGCTCAGCAGATAAAAGCACCTGTCATCAAGCTAGACAACGTGAGTTCAATCTCTAGAACCACTCCCTTCTGTTGTACTCTGGCTTCTGCCTGCACTGTTGTAGGCACACAGGCATGCATGCCCATGCACACATGCAATCATTCACCCCACGCCATGCATGTGTCCAAGTACATGCACAAATAAATAAATTTTAAGAGGGGCTAGAGAAATCATTCAGCAATTACAGCACTAGCTGTTCTTCTAGAGAATCCAAATTCAATTCCCAGCACACTTATGGCAGTTCACAACTGTAACACCAGCCTCAGGGAATTCAACACTCTTTTGGTCTCTACCAGCAATATACACATGGCTAAACAAAACCTGCCAATTAAAAGGTATTTAGAATTCATAACTATAATAATACACACTTACACATACATGTTAATAAGTTAGGATTAAAGGGGTACTCCAGAACTGGGGCGGGGGTAGATGGAGAAATGGGCTACCTTTTTGTTTATGGATCTAGGTCAAGCACACAACTAAGGGAAATTAATTTAAACTCATTCACTAAAATCAATTAATTACAAGTGAACTGTAGACATAAATATAAAATTATAAATTGGTAGAAAAGAACCAAGAAACACTTCTATAACCTTAAGACTTAAGGTTATATAATTAAATCAAAAAAAGAAAAGAAACAAATATTTGAGGTGGTTTGAATGAGAATGTCCCCACAGGCTGACAGGATCTGTAACCTTGTTTGAGGTGTGTCACTGGGACGGGCTCTGAGGTTTCAAAAACCACAGCTATTCCTATTAGTGGGCTGTGTGTGTGTGTGTGTGTGTGTGTGGTCTGTCTGTCTTGCGCTTGTTGATCAAGATGTGCACTCTCAGCTACTGCTCTAGCACCATGATTGCCTTCCTCTGCCAGGTTCCTCTCCGTGCTAGTTATAACCCTCTGAGACTGTAAAGCCCATAAACCATCTCTTCTATCCACTGCCTTGGTCATGGTGTCACATCCACAAATATGAAAATAAGACAACATGTAAAATAAAAATACCAACAAACTGGACTATATTATACCACACTTATTAAAAAGAACATTAAGAAAATAAAAGCACAACATAAACAGAAAACATTTCTAAGATCTATAATGGTTATAGTGTATCTAGAATAAAGAACTTCTAATCAGCTGAGAAACAGAAAAAAAAAAGTTCAGTATACAAAAAATATTCTGAAGAGTTCAACAATAGCTCAGTAGACACTGGGAAAATATAAATTAAAACTAGCACAAATTAAAATTCAAGACTGTGCAAATAGGGGCTAACAGGGGAGATGGCTCAGTCAGTAAAGTGCTTGTCTTTCAGGCTAGAGACTTGAGTTCAATACGCACAGTCCACATAAGAAAAGCAGGACTTGGTGAAACACCCTTATAATTTCAGGGTTGGGGAGGTGGAGACGGAAAATCCCTGGACTTCCTAACCAATCAGCCTAGGCTATTTGGCAAGTCCTAGTCCAGTCAGAGAATGTGTCTTAAAAAAAGAAAGAAAAAAGATAGGAAGAAAGACAGAGAGAGACAGAGAGGAAGGGAGGGAGGGGAGAAGAGAGGGGAGGGAGCGAACATCAGAGGAAAGCATCCCCTGGCCTCCAAAGCACAGCTCTGCAACCTCACAGAGAACTGATGATTATGTGGAACAAACTGAATTTCCATACATTGCTGATGGGAGTTTAAAATCAATAAACTTTAAAATTAAATATAAACACAATTCTTGCAGTATAACCAACCAAAATGCATGTAACTGAACACAAGAACCATAATAACAACAAAAAAGTAACAGCAGTATTCCTAGTGGCCCATTAGCTGGAACTACTCAGATAGCCACCAAAACAACAGAAAAGTGATGAATTAAAAACGGCCAAGTGTGTATGCAATTAAAATGAACTAATTCTAGTATATATGATGATACAGATAAATTTAACAATATCATGAATGATGACGCACAGAGGAATACATGGTTCATGATCTTACTTTTTAAAACTAAAACACACGATAAACAAAATTAAGTAATAAAATTAAAGAGAGTGGTTATCTTTCACTATTTTTGAGGAAGAGGAGGAATTAAGTTTTTTGAGGTCCTAGCCATTCCCATTTCTTGACCTGAATTGTATTACAAGAATTTTTCACTTTGCAATGATGTACTTGGCTTATTTTTTTGTGTATGTTATGAATGCACATAAATATGCAAATGTGCTAACCAGTTGCTTTTATAAATTTTAGAGACATTGGTGGTATCATGTAATACTAAAGTTTATTAATGTATCACTTTCTTTTAGTAAAATTCAAATCTACTAAAGAAATCCTCTTGTACATAAGAAGATGCAAACTAAAGGATTTTTGAAAAAAATAAAGATTTATTGTATCTTGTTTGAGGCCAGATCTTCTCAAAACAAAACAAACAAAAACAAATGGAAGCCGTGAGAAGTAAATCAGAATGACAGAAGCCAATGTAGAAGAGCACAGAGACAGAGGGGAGGTTGGACAGCATCATCTGCATCTCAGCAGGTGCTGAGGCTAGAAGGACAAGCCACACCTTTACCTAGCACACAGGTTGTCATCGCTTCATACCAACCTTACAGTTAATTCCATGCTCCTTTTCCTGAATACACAAATTTCGAGAATGCTTTCCTGTTTGTTTGAGAATTTCTGCTTCCACTCACCTGTCTTTTAATAAACTACTATTCAGTTTTCAATTCAAAATAAATTCTCTTACTTAGGGTTGCTAGTATTTGGAACTCAATTTTTGCTAAGAATTATGGTGCTTTTTTTTTTTCCTAAAAGTCATTTTCTAAAATTCAGATATCCCACCACCAAGCAAAACTCACTCAAGCCATTCCTGTCTCACATCAGATTGTGGCCACACTTATAGATCTTTATAGAATGAGGTTTTTCCCACTTCAAACCTATGAAATGACACTATTATTGTAGTGTCGTGGTGTGTGTGTGTGTGTGTGTGTGTAGAGGAGAGGGGAGGGAAGAAGAGAAAGAGAGAGAGGGAGAGGGAGAGGGAGAGGGAGAGGGAGAGGGAGAGAGAGAGAGAGAGAGAGAGAGAGAGAGAGAGAGAGAGAGAGAAGACCATTTAACATATACTAGTTACCATGCCAAGGGCTTCATCTGTATCCTTCCAATTAAGTCCCACAACTCTGCACAGTGAGGGTGTTCTTATTCACGAGTGAAAAACAATGGAAACCAAACCAAAGGCACAAACAGGAGGCCAAGGATTTTGCCCAGGATCAAACTTAGGAAGTATGAGAGCTAGGTCTCATACTTACAGACACAAACATAGAGATTATGTCCTTAACCTCTGGTCTACGATGGAAAACCCGGGTTGCTCCTGTCATTTTTTCAAATCTCTCAGTCTTCAATCTTTACATCCATCCTCCTTAGGCCACTTCTTACCTATGATGACCGTAGCTAACTGAACTGTACTTCTCTATAAACCTCTCTATCATGTTCAAGGCAACCTTGCTGCCTTTAAACACAGCAGACTTCCAGTCCCTTCAATGCTGCAAATACTTGGGATACCTAAGCCGTCCTGCTCAGTAAACACATACTGATACGTCAACTCTGTCCAAACGGCATGCCCTCTGGCCACGGTCTAATAACGGCGTAATGGCCAATGTTTGTTCAGCGCCAGGTGTCAGACGCTATTCTCCCTTACATCCCAATATTTACCCAATAATTCCATCAACTCTCCTTGGTAACTGATGCAAACGAGCCAGCAGCTGCTGCCGCGTCCGTGTGTTTATGGGATTTATGTTATCTCCCTCTGTCAATTACGCGCTGGGAGAACAAGAATATCTTCACCCCGACATCAGCTATGTTTGTTTAGCCCCTGGCACGTAATAAAACAGCAGCTCAACACACATCTTTTAAACTAACACCAGAGCAATGCCTGCAGGTCCTTTACTGCAGACTTGGAAACTCTTCCTGGCCCATCAGCGCCGTGTTTCTTCGAGCACAAGAGAAGCAGCACAAACCTATTTCGGATCTAGCCGACTACTATGCACGCTTAAGGAATGGACGCGTATTTACCAGCTGTTCTGCTTCGCTTAGTACATACATAATCTCAGGTGCAGCACCGAACATTTTGTGAAGCGGACCTCTTTGCCGTTTTTACATATTTCCACGCTGGGATCCAACCACAACCAAAACATATTAGTAGGTCAACGACAGCGACATTGCACCTTACAGATGCATTTGCCATCAGGGAATAGGGCGCTTACTTTGGTCTCTCAGTAAGTCGAATTCTGTGGCCATTTCGAGATTTTACTTTGGAGTTTTCATCACCTTTATCGATTCCTCGCGGGGGTGGGGAGGAGAGTAAGATTTTTTTTTTTTAAACAAACAAATATAAAAACAGCCCTCCCCCCCCCGCTGTGAGGGCAAAGGAAAAGCTAAGGGGTCGCCGGGGCAGCCGAGCCCTGGCGCGGAGGCATCAGCATCCCACTCACGCGGCGGCGCAGCCCGGCCCGCAGCTCCGCCGAAGGCAGGCGACGCGCGTCAGAGTCCGCTCGCTCGGCCGGACCCGGGCGGGGGAAGGGGCGGCGGGGCGGCCGGAGGGCGACGTGGGCACCGCCGGGCTCGGCCGCCGCGTCCCCGCGGGGCTGAGGGGCGACGCCAGGACCGCGGGGAAGCCCGAGCCGCCGCCGAGTCCGCTCGGCCCGCCCTGCGACTTTGAAAGCGGTGCCCCGGACCGTTCCTTGGAGACGGTGACGCCGCGTCCGTCATCACGCGAGCGTCGGCGCCTACGTCATCGCGCTGCCTGAGGCTCCGGCAGGCGATTGGCTATCTGTCAGGCGCGGGGCGGATCCCTGAGCGCGCTAGGGGCTGAGTCCCTCGCTTGGCGCCTTCCGCAGTGCCGTGGCGGGTGCCTGAGGTAGTGTGGCGCAATTTAATTTTATTTTTCTTTCTTCCTTTCTTTTTGTAGGAAAACCGAAAACAGTGATAGGAGCAGGCACTAGATAGATATTTTTGTTGCTCTCCGAGTCTTGGTTTCTCAGACACTAAGCGTCCGTGGGGCGTGTGCAGGAAGGAGGGCTGTGGGTCCTGGGGCTGAGGTGTCTCCTCAAGTCGGCTTCGAGCTGAACCTTCTAGGTCTGGGAGTAGTGAGAGCTGTCGTCGGATATTTAACCCTGTCACGTAATCAGGATTCAGGGAAGCCCGCGAATCCTATAAGAACTTCAAATCTAAGGAAGGATAACATTTTGCAAAAGAGGAAAAAAAGCAAAATTTGTATTGGTGGATAAATTCCCATTCCCAGTTTTAAGAAGTGACGTTGTGTGTTTGAGCCTTAGAGCTTAAAACACACACACACACACACACTGGAGAAAGTGATGGCAAAAATAAGTTTATTAGTAGCTTATCACTGGGTTTATAGAGCCTTTTTAATTGATTATATTTTTTTATGCATTGAAATAAAGTTTCATTACATATGTCCTGGTCCTGAGATGGCTCGGCTTGATTAAGACGTGCTTGCCTGACTTAGGATTCCCAGCACTCATATAAAAAGCTAGGCAGGGCCCTGTATGCCTTTAATACCAGTACTAGTGAGGTGCAGACAGAAGGTTGAGGGAAAAGGGGTGCTCTCTGGCCAGCAGCCTAGACAAATCGAAATATTCCAGGGTAGTGAGACACTCAAAAAGTAAGGTCAGGTATGTTAATAAGATTTTTCTGTGAGAAAATACCTGGTGGAAATAAAGCTTTTTTTTTTTTTTTTTAAAAAAAAGGTGAAGAGCATTTGAGAATGACATCCCCACCTCAATCTCAGTCCATACACAGGTGCAAACACACTCTCCCACAGGGACACACACACACACACAAAAAAAAAAAACAAAAGTATGTTCTGGGTGAAGTTGGGTTGGGCTTTCAGTGGGATGACTTAAGAAGTAATCATAAAATACCATAGACAGTGTTAGCCTCGTTCCTCTGAAGAGACTAGCTTTAAAATGTGTGTATGTCTGTAGCAGTCATACAACGGTTTAAATTAACTTTGAAGAAGTGAAGATTGAACCTGGTCTTGTTCTCAGTGGTCATAAACGTAACATAATAGCTTACACTGATTGTGCAGGCTCTACCTCTTCAGTGTAGAATACTTTCTGATGAGGCTTCCCACTGCCTCTCCCTACATTTGAAACCTGTATTGCACTGTAACTTGGCATTGAGTAAGTACCTACAAATTTAATATTTACACTCAGCATTAATAAAATATATTGGCATGGAAAAAGCCAAGTGTGACTTCTATATAGAAATGATGAATGGTTTTTGTCTGAATTGAATGGTGAACTAGAACTTACGTTTGCATTTAAAGTGTTTGATTTTATACGATCATAGTCAAACACAAATCAGTTGACCTTTCATGCATTGAAAAATTAATGGTCTGTTTCCCTACTAATTTTAATAAGTTGACACTAAACAGTTAGTGTACTCAAAGCAAACCTGAAGATAGGAAGTTGGAGTTTAAGCAAGTTTCAATATAGTTCATCCTACCAAGGATTTGAGCCCAGTATGATTTCAATATTACAACCTTTAATCACCATGTAATATAAATTATATCTAATGTTTTGATATTTATAGTTAGTTTCTAGTTGAAATAAATGGGTTGCTATGTTACATATTTTAACACAGTCTCAGTGATTTACAGTTTAATTTCAAATGTTTTCATGTTTGTAATGCTGAACTATCCATCCCTCTCAAAATAATAGAAGTAAACTCCCAGACATCAATGGTATGATTAAAAGCCTTCGAATGTGCGATTGTATGACCTCGAAACATTTTCCCTGAAAACGCGGGTTTGTCAGTTTCAGAACTCCAAGTCTCTTCCCCTAGAACGTGTGCTGGGTGGAGCCTAAGAGGGGGGTCCTCCTCTACGACCGAGGCCAGAGACCACAGCTGAGCTAGAAGGAAGAGCCTCCAGGCCTGTGCTCTTGGTAAGTCCTCTCATCTTCTCTTTAAAGTCTGTCAGACGCTGGTACTGAAGTCAGTTCCCTCCCCCCCCTCCAGCTGGCATGGCTTCCTCTGACTTCACTTACTTCTCCATTTCTTTTAGAAGTGTGTGCTGCGGTGCAGCATGCAAACCTAAAAGAAGTATGTGCTGTAGGAAAGGGGTTTTATTTTTGTAAATAAAGGATCTTGGAATTTTTCTTGGAGATTGTTTTATAGAAAAACATTCTTTAAAGCCTTTCTTTTAAGGTTTTAAGGTGTTTTTTTTTTTTGTCTTCTAAATGAGTGTACCACTCTTCATGTTCATGTATAGAAGTTAAAACAATTGAATTTTAACGTGTCAATTGAAGAAGATGAACTAAAAGTGAAAACTACAGGTTAACAACATTGTTTTAAGAAAGCCAAAGTAGCTGATAGTGAGACTGGAGTGGATGGTGATCACCTAGTGAGACTGGAGTGGATGGTGATCACCTAGTGAGACTAGTGGATGGTGATCACGTAGTGAGACTGGAGTGGATGGTGATCACCTAGTGAGACTGTGGAGTGGATGGTGAATGTCTAGTAAGATTAATTCTGACTCTGTAAATGTTTCATCATAGTGCTAGTTAAGCATTAAGAGATGTATCCTTAAAGTGGACTCTAACATATTCTTAAATTATTCATTTATAATTTCTTACTGTCATGAACTCAAAAGGAGGCAGCAGCTCAAACACGCAGACCCACACTCCCTGTCTTTACACTGCAGTGCAGTAAACTTCAGACTGTTAGAGCAGCCATTCCAAAGCCATGGACCTTCATTCAAGGTTTTACTCCTTCACTGTCTATTACATTTTTATGCATTTCTCTACCACACACACACCCCTATGACAGTTTAGGCTAGAAAAATAAGGAGCGTTTATATTCTTGGATGACTCATGTGTCATCTTGCCGGCATCTGTCCTATCTCTTCCCTTTAGTATTATTCTTTGTCTCCTTTCTGAATGTTACATAGGATCCGCACTTACAGCTGTTTCCATATATACATGTATACATTAAAGGCCGTTCACATATTTACACATATACATTATATATAACACATGCCTATAATTAATATGTTTGTACTGATACATGCATATTTCATAATATTTCTTTATTCTTTAAGAATGTTATATACACATATAATGAATTTGGTCATACTCCTCCCCCTAACTCTTCCTAGAGCCACTCCTGCCTCTTGGGCCCCTTCTAACTTGATGTCCTTCTTTTTTCCCCCAAATAATCACTGTATCTGGTTTGTGGTTCTAATATACTCATGCGTATGGGGTCATGACTGGATCTGGGTCAATGTGCCAGGAACCACATCCTTAAAGAAAACTAGCTCTTCTCCCAGAAGCCATCAGCTGTCAATTGCTCCTCAGCTAGGGGTTGGGGCATTTGAGTCCCTGTCTCCTTCATGCTGAAATATTGTATGTGTTGGTTGTAGCATGATTTCTAATTGTTCTTAATAATAAAAACCTGGAGTCAGATATTAGGGGGTGAAAGGTGAAGGATCAGAGAAGCAGAGCTGCCAGCCGGTAGAGGTTTTACCTCTACTAATGCTCAGACCAAAGGGGCGATCCTGTCTCTATGAATCCTCAGACTGATTGCTCAGACTGAATCCTCAGACCACATCTGAACTCTTGTCTCCTCCCGTCTTATATTCCTCTCTCTGTCCAGCCATATCACTCGTGTCTCCACCTCCATAGTGCTGGGGTTAAAGGCTTGTGATCCAGAGCACTGGATCACCTTTGTGTGAGTTCTATTTCTTTTAGATAGATTCAATCTTGTGTAGCCCAGGGTGGCCTTGAACTCACAGAGATCTGTCTGTCTCTGCCTCCTGAGTGCTGGGATGAAAGGTGTGAGCCACCACTGCTAACTAGTGGCTTAACTCTACATTCTGATCTTCAGGCAAGCTTTATTTGTTATATTACAAACAAAATATCACTAGAGTTGATCTTGTACAGGTCTTATGCACACAGCCATAGCTACTATGAGTTCATAATTACAGCAGTCCCATCATGTCCAGAACACACTGGTTTGCTACTATGTCCGTGACTTCTGGCTCTTGCAATCTTTCTATCTCTTTTCCTTAAGGGTGTGATTTAGATGCCTTATTAATACTTAGCTTTTTAACAAGACATTGATGTAACTGGCACAGTGTGTTTCTTCTGCTTAAAAGTGTACACTCAGAATTTAAGTTGTAGAAGACATCAGAGCAGTATTCACTTGACATATAAATAGCTCCTACTTCAAGCATTCTTGCTTAGACTCGAGGTAATAAATACATATGTATTAGTTGTGTGGATCAAACTGGACCAGTGCAGTATAATAGAGAATGGCAGGGAGAGTTACACCAGGTGAGGAGAACCATGGATAATTAAGATGTCTATTTCATTGTTCTATGTGCAAAGAAACAGAAAGACAGTAAGGTCTTAGGAAATGGCTAAGGGAGTTGAGAGGAGGTTTAGTTGTCTGTGAGCGTATGTTATCGTCAGATTGTTAAGAAGTCAGCAAGATTATACAGTGTAGTTAGAAAATAGATTTTTTTTCTGTATAATATATTCTGATCACAGTTTCCCCTCCCTCATCTCCTCCCAGATCCTCCCCACTTCCCTACCCATCCAACTCCATCCCTCTTTTCTCTCTCTCTCTTTAGAAAACAAGCAGGCAAACAAACCAAAACCCAAAACCAATAACAATAAAGAGAAAACAGAATAGAAAAACAAGGATAAACAACAACAAATAAGAAGTTTGAGAAGCACCTACACACACACACACACACACACACACACACACAAACACACACCTTCCCAAATACTGTTAGGTTCGTTTTGAGTTGGTCATCTACTACTGGTCATGGAGCCTGTCCTTGAGAGTGGTTTGCGTGTTCAGTGAAACACCAATGGAGAAAACTAATTTTTCCTTTCTGAGCAGTTGTCAGTTGGTTTTTGGTTAGGGATATGAGATCATGTCCACTACCTCATCTCAGAGCTGGTACCTTATCCAGCTTGAATATGTGCATGTTGCCACTGTCTCTGAATTTATGTGAGCATCCGTCCCTGTTGTATCTTGGAGGCTTTGTTTCCTTGGTGCCTTCCACCCTCACTGGCTCTTACAATATTTTGCTTCCACTTCCTTAAAGTTCCCTAACTCTGAGGGAAAAGGTTTGTTGGAGACATCCCTTTTAGACTGGGTGTTCCAAGATCTCTCACTCTCTGCATATTGTCCAACCTTGAAACTGTGTTCCCATCTCCTACAAGTGGAAGTTTCTCTGGTGATGGCTGAGTGAGGCACTGATCTATGGGTATAGTAGAATGTTGTGAGGAGTCATTGTATTTCTTGTAGTATTTAGTTTGCCCCTTGGTCCATGGCCTATTTGGTACCTTGTTCTTGGCCACCCAAACAGGGTCAGGTATGTGTTCCGTCACGTGAAGTGGGCCTTCAGTCAAATCACATATTGGTCACTGCCGCAAGCTTTGTACTACCATTGCCCTAGCATATCTGACAAGCAGAATTTCATTGTAGATCAAAGGATGTGTGGCTGGGTTCATGTTTACATTTCTCTTTTGTTGAAGATGCTGTCTCTTTTCCAATCTGTATTTCTGGCTTCTTTATCAAAAATCAGGTGTTCACTGGTATGTAGATTGATGTTTGAGTCTTCAGTTTGATTCCTTTGAAGAGCTACAGGCAATCCATGACTGCCAAGAGAGGAAAAGTCATCTTCCCCAGGGATAATCTCCCTACTTGGTTATTCAGTACCAAGTAGTGAGCCCTAAAAACATGTATGAATATATAAACAACACTAAATAGACTCAGCAGGTAGGATTTATATATTAATATGAATGCATTAATGTATCAATGATTAAAGAAAAAGAAAACAAGAGAGATAATACATGAAGGTAGAATAAGGGCTTGAAAGTAGAAGAATGGGAAAATTGAGGGGAGAACAAGATATAGAGTAGGGAATTGAAGATGATCAGCATATAATATATACATGTATGAAATGTCATAATAAAACCCATCAATTGTACAATTAATAAATGCTAAGAAAATGGAATGACATTTACAGATAATTGATATACACACATATAATGTTGCCATCTTAAAAAACAAAGTTGTATACTAATGAGATGAATATATTTATTTTTACACAAAGGATTAATCTTGGCTAAATATGGAAAATACCTAAACTCGCATAGTTAAGTACATTTACAGTTTTTGCAGTGAACTTAGTCATAACATTTTACAATGACTTTTGCATACCACAAATAAACAGAGCAACATCAAGATTAAAAGTCATAAGTCTTCTTGGCTCCATGATTTGTCACAACCCAGATGGCCTTATGACTCCTAGGATCCTGTTCTTGTCATTCTGTTGCCTAACTGTCTCTTGTTTGGCATTGCAATTTTCAAGTAAAGGGCAGTGCTATATGTTGTTAACAAGTTTGTTTTAATTTCCTTCTTCAGATGGATTTTAAAATTGAAAACACTTGGGATGGTTTTCCAGTGAGGCATGAGCCAGTGTGTATCAAGCTGAGCCCAGGGGACAAGGGCGTGAAGATGGAGGTTAGTGCTCCATTTTTCAATGATCCTCCAGCCCCTCTTGGAGAACCAGGAAAGCCTTTCAGTGAACTGTGGAATTATGAAGGTAGGCAGAAGTATTGTATTTTATTAGAAACATAAATCTTTTTCTAATAACCTCTCAGAGAGCTATTATTTTATCTCGCTGTTAGGAAGTAATGTGCTTTTGAACAACTGACGTTCAGTTCCTGATCTTGACCATCTGTCATTCTGACTTTGCTCCCATTACAGCGGGGCTCCAGCATATAAGCAGAGCAGAGGAAAATGGCAATCCCAAATCCAGATGCTTGTGTTGCTGCCACATTTCCTTCCTTTCTTACGTCGCCTGCTCTAAAAAGAGATCATGTTCTGTCTTTTAAGACTATTTAAATCACCATCTTTACCTTACAAGCCTCCTTAATGGGAATTTTAGGGTGTGTTACTTACTGGAGAAACACTGTCAGCATGAGATTTAATATTTACTTTCTGCTGTCGAGTAATCTCACTTATCAAATTAAGGCCAGAAGACATCCCAGGAAATTAAATGCTTTCAGGTTTGTTATCCGACCTTCTTGTACTATGTCCTCATCAAACCGCAGGGTTCTTTCTGAAATACTGTTCTTGATGCCATCCCCATAGATATAAAACACTGCGTGACAGAGAAATTGAGAATTTGCCCCAAGATTTCTCACTCAGTGTATTGGCATTTATTTACTTGGTTAGCAGAGAACTTTTCTTTTAAGTAAACTCTTTTCCTAAGTCCATGTTTCTCTTTGAAGCCAGAGTGATCTGTCACTTCTCTAAATGAAAATTTCAATTTTTTAACGCAAAAAAGCAAATTGTACTTAAGTATGATTTCATATTTATTTTTAAATATCTTAAGAGGTAAGATCATTTATAGAGGCATAGGAAAGATCTGGCAAGTTTTAGACTAACGTAGAAAGAAAAGGACTTGGGTTTCCCTTCATATATTTTATGCAGTTGTAACTATTTACAAGAAAGAGGCACTTCATCCACAATCAACTAATTTTTAAAACAGCTAATGCTCAAAAACCCCTGAAATTAATCATAAAAATCACCACTTACAAATAAACCAGTATTTTTTAGTTAGTTTCAAAAAACTAGTTTAAAAAACCATTTCCATGTTTGCGGAGGTCAGGGGACTTGTGGGAGTTGGTTGTCTCCACCCACTGTGTGGATTCTGGGGCTCCAACCCAGGTCCTTGGGCTGGGTAGTAAGCACTTTGCCTGCAGCTACAACACTATCCCCACCACTCTTCATATTTGTTGTGATGTTGTAGACAGGTAGTCACTGGTACACACATGCACATACATACACATGTTTAAATTTCATGTGCATTCAGTTCATTGGCTCATACATAGAGTTACTGCTCTATAACCAGCCTGCAAATATCATGGAAGTCTTGTCATGCCAATACATATTTCACTGTCTTTGATTTTCATGGCACCATTGCATTCTATTACATGAAGTGTATGCATTCTGTAACGCACCCAATCAGTTTTGCTGAATAATAGGTGGCCTATTTATGTACGAGGAAATATTTTTTGTGTAAGAAGAGATGTATCATTTCTAGTTTTTTGAGTCATACCCTAATGGGTAGAAGTGTACTTAACTTCTTTTTCTAATTGTCTGATTTGTTTCCTTGGGATAAATTCCAAGAGGAAGATAACTGGGCCAGATTCCATCTGTGCAGACATGTTCACTTCCCTGTGGTCTCACTATCACTAGGCTTTGTATTTCCTACTGGCAGTAGTATGATGATTTAAAAAACTTAGTAATTCACTTTATATTAGAAAGGAATAAATTTTTACTATGTAATCAAAATAAAATTTCCCATGTTCTGTCTATTTTCATAAGTTGTGGAAGCATTTTTCTTGAATGATACAACTGAGCAGTATTTAGAAGTTGAACTTTGTCCGTAAGTATAAACTATTTATCTTAACTCTTACTGGATAATTTGAACATGCTTGTTTTCTAGTTATAAATAGTATGGTTGTAGTAAAGCTCACTGGGTTCAGCTAAGTAGAGGTAATATTAACTGGAGTCAGTTTTAAATCTTGTTTTTTGCTGTCTTGTACAATGCATACCTTCAGAATTTATGTTTAGAATATATCTTTTACACACACACACATACACATATATATCCTACATGTTTGAGTGTATTATGTTGATGTGATTTTTTTGGTTTATTGATATAAATGATTTTGTAATAAACTTGATCATTTTTTTACAAAGTAGAAAAAATTACTATGAATAAATCATTACTTTATATGTTTGCACCGTGATATATTAGCTATTTAGAAGTAAAGGGAGATTTCTGATCCCTAACGAAGACATTATCTCTAATTCACAACCACATGCAATGGAAAAATTAGTTTTCTTCAGTGGAATCTCAGCGGGCACACAAACCATACTTAAGGGCAGTCGCCAGGCTCAGCAGTGACTGACACAAACAAATTCAATGGTATTTTGTAGGCTTTTTTTTTTTTGGTCTCCTATTGCTTTTTGAGGGCATTTTTTTTTTTTTTTAAATCTTACTTGTCTTTTGCTTGTATGTTATGGTTTCTAATTTTGTGTTTTTATGGGTTTTGTTTTTGTTCATATTCGTGTCTCTGAGCGTGTTGTGTGAGCTTGTGCTCATGTGCACACGTGTTTATTCTGGTCTGACTTTTTTATCTGCCTGTTTGTTTCCTGAAGAAAGAGAGAAAGAAGTTGTGGTGTTAGATGGGTGGGGGAGAATCTACCAGGAGATAGAGGAAACTGTGTTCAGAATATATTGTATGAAAAATTTTATTTTTAATAAAAATGGGAAACATAAAGATATAACTAGCTTACAGAAACATTTCTTTTAGATTCTTGAAGATTAAACTTTAATTTTATGTATTATATAATAATATATTCATGTATTTATTCATTTAGTCATCAGTCATTCTTTTGAGCACATAGTATATTGTTTTTGCATTTAATGCCAAGAAGCTAATTTAAATTGTACCTGAATTTTCCAAGAGTCACGGTAAAAATAGTACCTTTGGAATTTTTTATTTTTATTTTTTTATATTTAATTAATTAATTATTTGTCTTTAGACACATTTTCACTCTATAGCTTTGGCCAGTCTGGAACCCTTGGGGATTAAAGGTGTTGGCTGCTACACACCCAGCTTTTTTGGAATTTTTTCGTTTGTGCTTACTTGGGAATATTTACTTGGGAACTTGATTTACATGGTGACAGACTTCTATTCCTCAGTAGATGTAAACTAAGGAAACTTACATTTACTTGTTATCTAAATTATAGCATGCTTTTAATACATGAGATGTTTCTATATTGCTTATTTATTTTAGATGTCAGTTAAATATTTCTCAGTATCAGTGTCCAGTAATATTTATTCCTTTGTAAACTGACAATTGAGCACCAATTAATCTTTACAAAATTTAGATTCCCATTTGTTAGTTGTTTCTTTTTTATTTTGTTTTGCTTTTGCTAACTCTAACATGAAAAAAAATGCAGTTATTTGTAATTCGTTTTTTGTTTTGTATTGTTTTCTGAGACAGGCTCTAACCTTGCAGCCCTGGCTAGCATGGAGTACACAGAATTCACCTGCCTCTGCCTGCAAGTGCTGTGAATGAAGATGCACGCTACCACATGAAGTTTGCTATAGTTATAGTTGCTGTTGTTGTTATTAGTATTACTTGGTTTTTCAAGAGAGCGTTTCTCTGTGTAGCTTTTTGAGCCTGTCCTGGAACTGGCTTTGTAGACCAGGCTGGCCTCAAACTCAGAGAGAGCCTCCTGTCTCTGCCTCCTGAGTACTAGGATTAAAGGTGTGCGCCACCACTGCCTGGCTGCCATTATTATTATTATTATTATTTTTGGTTTTTCGAGACAGGGTTTCTCTGTGGCTTTGGAGCCTGTCCTGGAACCAGCTCTGTAGACCAAGCTGGCCTCGAACTCACAGAGATCCGCCTGCCTCTGCCTCCCAAGTGCTGGGATTAAAGGCGTGCGCCACCAGAATAATTAGATATGTTTTCACGTTATCTTCCAACTAGCATGGCAAAATATTTTATTTAAAGCTACGATTAGTTCTTGTAAAATATTAAGAAACCTAGAAAAGTTTTAGCTATTATGAGCTGACTTTTGCCCCACAGATGAGAAAGAAAGCTAAGACAAACATTTCAATTTGACTGAAAGACAACAAAGAACTTAGATTTACCAAAATTCTCAAGTTCAAGCTTAGAATTTGTTTTTAAAATTTGTCTTACATTTTTGAAAAGCACTTATTCATTTATGTTAGATATGTGTTTGTATGCATAAGTGCACCATGTGTAACATTTGAAGGTCAGGGGACAACGTGCAGGAGTAAGTTCTCTCTTTCCAAGTTCTTGTAATTGAACTAAGGACATCGGGCTTGGCAGCAATCTCCTCTACCTGCTGAGCCATTGTTCTGGCTCCTGCAGTTTTCTTTCATTAGACTGTATCAGATTATTTTCAAGAAGTGGCAGTCTAACATTGGATACATGGAAAAAATAGTTTTTCATTAAGAAACTACATGGTAACCATTGTGTATAAAAGTTTTTAAAATCAGCATCCTCAGGGTAGCTTGGTTTGTGTACCTCAGAATTATCAAGAATCGCGGTTCTGCCTCAGGCAGTCAATTCCTATCCTGCTTAATTAAGAGCTAGAGAAGCAGCAAGAAGAACACTGTTTTAATTTGCAAGAAGTTTTACGAATTCTAGGATCTTCCTAAAGCCCCATAAAAACATAAAATTAATCAGAGGATTTTAAAATGGAAAGCGTTACTTGTCTTCTGTTAGAGTACTTTATTGCAGAAAATCCTCCCTCCAAAAGCTCACAAAGGACCATCTGGGTGGAAATGTTTGATAGACTTCCAGAGGCAGAAAATATACTTCTCGTAAATACATGCAATCCATTGCTCCTTAAAGACTTCGATAATCCCACTTATTCATTCCCATTAGGATTTCCTTTTGAGACTCTGTTGTGCTTCTTTTTGGAGATGTGGCATTGGTGCCTGAACAAATGGTAGGAAGCTGAGAAACAGGTGCAGACTGTTCAAGGATAGCAGTGTGAAAAAACAGCTATAGGTTAAAATCTGCGCCTTGTTGACTAGTTTTGGCCAATCTATATTGTACGTTTTCTGTCTTCCTATTGGGCCTCAAGAACGTTTCTTACAGAAATAACCTTTAGTTAATCTACTAGATAAAGACTGGAAATCAGCTCCAGCTTTCCGTGGCTGCTTCAGTTGTTGCAGCTGTTTTTTATTTTAAGCCGCAAGTATTATGATTATTTCTTTCTTCATACATTGTGTTATCTAACCAAATGAAGTATTTTATATAATTTCTTATCTAAAGAATATGGAAATCAAGGGGCAGTGAAATTGTGCAGTGGGTAAAGAATATGAAAAGTAGTTAGCCAGCAAAATGTTATGATTTATCAGCAGGTGTTTAGGAAACAGTAATTCCAAAGTTGCCATTTCTAAATAGTGTGAGATACCCCCTCTCCCTATAGTTATCCAATATTGTATTGTATTTTGTTTATTTGGAAATTTAGCTACAAGCACATACATTACAGATAGAGAAAAACGTAAAGAAGATAATATTGTTTTTCTTGTAACAAACCATAGAAATGATCCCTAAAGGTATAGTCTTAATATTGTTTTTCTTTAACACTCATGAGGAATCTTAATTTTGACAGACATGGACAACATTTAGTTCTTTTACTCTCTGGAAGAAGAAATATTTGGAAAGTGAGTAAACAAACATATGGGACCAAATCCTATAATGCACAGCATGTGTACCTGTTAGTCTGAACTTGCCTTTTATGTCTCTCATAGAAAGAGCTTGAGTTATCATTCAAAGTGTTCAGAGGGGAGACAAACTGGGAAGGCATAGCTCTTCTTCCTTGGAGTTATTTTCCACCAAATGTGACAAGATTCAACTCATTTGCAATTCATGGATCAAATGATAGAAGAAGTTATGAAGCCCTTTACCCTGTGCCACAGCATGAACTGCAGCAAGGACAACAGCCTGATTTGTAAGTAAAAAATAAGTAGAGTTACATTCCAACTACAGAAGCTGTTGTGACCGCAAACTCTGAGACCTGCCTGCTTCTTCCTCCCGAGTGCTGGAACTAAAGGCTACCGCCACCTGGTGGGAGTTAGTTCTTGACACTTGGTAGTTGATGATGGTACGTGTGGGTACATACGAAAGGCCCTGTGTTCCCTCATTGACCTCTACTTTTGACCATGATAGATTATCTCATTACTTTCAGCAAAGCATTTAGTCTTTCATGATTATATAAGAAGAATATTAATTAGTGAGTGCACATCAACTGATGCTTGTTGGCATACAAAAGAGTTTCACACTAACCCAGAATGGAGTATAACAAAGGTTTATTTATCTAGGGGTAAACTCACAGAAAGAGTAGCGATTTGTAGTTCTCTGCATGCTCTGGGAACTGGGACCAAATTTAGCAGCCAAGAGGCCCGCACATGCTTTGCGGTCTGCATTTATAGTATGTGAAGCTGTGCCCAAAGTGAGCCGGTATCTTAAAGGCTATTTGATGAAGGACTTTCTATAGCACCTCCCCCTTTTGTCTAAATAAGAGAGTTCTAACCTAATACAAAACAATATACAATAAGAACAAATATCAAGTATTGTCCAGGGAAAAGAAGAGGCAAAAACGTATATAAAAATTAGAATTACAATCAGTATGCACAGCAAGAAATATATGCTAAATGTTTCTATAGTTATCCTAAGGAGTCTAAGTCTTATATTAAAAATGGCTTGGCTAAGTCACGAGAAGAAACTAACTATGACTTCAACCCAATCAAAGGCCTGAGAAAGAAAATAATATTACCTGAGTAAACAGGAAGTGCTATCAAGCAGCTTCCAAAAGGGGCAAGAAATGACAGAGACAACCAGCTACCTGGGAAATCACCCACAGTATTATTTGCAATGTTGGAGCAACCAACTTTGGCTAAGACCTAGAGTAACTGACAGATCATTTTTAGAGGCAAGAAAATTTTAAAAACTGTCTTACCCTGTCTTGGCAAGGTTTGGCAATCTTTCTGCTTGTATCTTGCTTGTCCAGTCTGGACACTGTGCATTTTATCAGTGGTCGAGGCAGGGGCAGTTGAGGCCAGGTTTGCGAAGAAGAAAACAAGCTCAGAGTGGCGTTTCTTCAATGTCCATCAACTTCTCTGAAGTAATTGGAGCTGCCAGAAGCAGACATGTCTCACTGTTGAGAAAAGTCTAAGTTCTTAAAATATTTTAAACGCCATATTCTGTAGGTCTTTGAAAGATTTGAAAATTATCTGTCTAACTAAAATAGATCTCTACATATCTTACTTAGATCTTTAACTAACATGACTACAAGTTTAACTATTATAAATGAATATTAATCTGAATTTCTTAATTATATGTTACATTTTAAAATGAGCTACACAAACACAATACTTTAAACAAGAGCAGAAATACATATCCACAGTATAACAAAATTGACCTTAAATTTGTATCAATAGACCAAAGTCCATACCAATGCAGAGTATTCATCTCTATATCATATCTCCCTTTAAATGAAAACAAACATTTATAAACAATCATTTTGTGAATTTGGGTGTAGTTTTCTACAAACCGCTTCCTACTGTTTGTTGAGTGAAATATTTTTAGGGTTCACGGAGACCTTTTGGGGGAGTCTCGCTCCATCAAACCACATTAGCCTTGAAGGAACCACAGGTTCTCATCTTCTGTGGAAGCAAAAGCAGAACCTCTTTTCCGAAGTAACATATCCTTAGATCAAATTTTGAAGTCAAATTTATACTTTTAAAATATGTTGGCTTAACTTAGCACCCCTCAGAATCAAATGATTCTTTGCAGTCAAAAAATTCAAAGAAATCACAATAATACACATAATCCAGATTCTCTGTGTATTTTCCATCTTTATGTGGCTTATTTTTTTTTACTTCTTTAATCTATGATTGCCTGTACCTTTTTATATTACTTTTACTGTCTCTTTAAAGACTTATTTCTTTTTATAACTGTCTATTCTCTTTTTCCTCTCTCTCCCAAGCCTACTTACATTTAACACACACTGTGTCTCATTTGGAGGTCTTTTGTAGCAGCAGGCCGCTTGGCTGCTTGGCTTCTTGTTTGTTTCCCAGTCACCCAGACCCTCGATATAATCACAAAGAAATTGTATTAGTTAAATCACTGCTTGGCCCATTAGCTCTAGCTTCTTATTGGCTAACTCTTACATCTTAATTTATCCCATTTCTAGTAATCTGTGTATTGCCACATGGCAGTAGCTTACTGGCAAAGTTTCAGTATGTCTGAGTCTGGTGGCAGCTCCATAGTGTCTTTTTCCTCCCTTCTTTTTCCCAGCATTCAGCCTAGCTTTCTCTGCCTACGTAAGTTCTGCCTTGCTATAGGTCCAAAGCAGTTTCTTTATTCATTAATGGTAAATCACAGCACACAGAGGGGGCTCCCACATCAGTCTTTTATGTCTGAATTGGTCCTGTTGTGTATCTGAAATCCTTTTCTGATAAGGAACATTTTAAAACAGTAAGCAGTGTGGTTGTGGCAGCCCTGGATGCTGACTTCATTCATCCCTCCCCTCTTGTCCTTCCAGTATGGTGGAGGTACATTTACTGCCACCTCTGGGACTTCTGAGCGGGAGTCGTGCTCACCGCCTCAACCCTGGGAAGCACCATGCAGCATATAAACCATTTTTGTCTGAGTAAAAGCTAAATCTGCCATGCAGCTCATTGCATGGCCTAGAGATATCTGTGTATAGAGGCAGGAATCCACCATGCTCCCCTGCCGGTGCACACCCAGCAGACCTGATCTGGCAGGTTGCCCAGAGACTGCTGAGCTGCTGGTGTGCTCTCAGCTACTTTCCTCCTAACCCTGAGCAGGTGTACAAGGACCTGGACCTGAAATGGGTGGCAGACCATGTATGTTGGCCCCACGTTGGGCACTTTTGTAGATGGATGCTGCTCATTTGTTTCCTGGCTTCTCAGACCTGAATATTCACACAAAAACTATATTAATTCCAACAATGCTTGGCCATTGATTCTAGCATATTCCTATCTAGCTCTTGCATTAAATTGACCCATTTCTATCAATCTGTGTACTGCCACAGGGCTGTGGCCTACTGGTAAGGTTCCTAAGGTTCTGGTGTGTCCTCCTTTGGCAGCTACATGGTGTCTCCTTGACTCTGTCAACTCTTGCTCTCTGTCTCTGTTCTGATTTCCTACCTGGCTTTACTCTGCTAAGCCATTGGCCGAAACAGCTTATTAACCAATGGTAATAAAACATAGTCACAGCATACAGAGGGGAATCCCACATCAGATACTGATATGGCTTCAAATTAATTTATGATCCTTTTCCTAAATATGGTGGCCATAGGGATCTGTGTTTTGTGATATGGCTAGAGGTGTTACGAACTCTTCTTTGTTACTAAAGATCTTGTACTCAGTCATATCTCTGCTTTTTTGATTGCCTCATTTGAATATGAGTATCAACTACATTTCTAAGTAACTATACTTGTGATAAACTTATTTCTTAATTAGTAAATGACATCTGCATTAAGTAATTTTGAATGACCTGTAAATACATGATGGAGACAGTGTGGCTTAGGGATTCCTCTTTAAGTCATGTTATCTGTGGGGACTCAAGTTGATGCCCTCTAGTGGTTGTCAGAGGTGGTGTCTCCTGTGAGACAGCAGGTATTTAAGCCAAGGTACCTTCAACACTTGTCCTATTTCAGTCTTGTCTCCTGGCATCTGAATCTGTCATCTAGGAAGGACATAGATCTTATTGAGCCTTCTGAATGCTTCATGCACTGCTGCAAGGACTAGTCCCTTACGGAGGACAACTCAGTACTTTCGTAGGGCAGTCTTTGATTCCTGCTGTCTGTCTCTTAATGTACTCAGTGTGGTCAGCCCTGGGAGTCTGGATGCTTAGCAGAGCCTAACAGAGACATCCTAGTGGGCAGCACCAGGCTCGCTAGACATTCCTGCCTTCTAACCCTTAGGATATGACACCATCTTTCTTCGCTATGTTTAACTTCTCTTGCTTTTACTTGACTTCTTTTCCCTTCATTTCTTCTAGCAGATGCTTGCATTCTGCTTGACACATTCAAACATCTACTTTTTTTGCCTTTCTCCCCAGTCCTGACTCTTTCGGGCTAGCTCTTTCTCTTTTTCTCTGCTTCTTCCGTCACTGTTGATCCTTAGCATCTTACTCTGGGATTTATTGATGTTACTCTAAACCGGTTCACCCTGGCCTGGTGCGCAGACAGGAATAGAAATCGAGGTGCCATTGATTGAGAGTCATCAAACCAAGGCCATGTGCCACTCTTACCTTTCAGTTGCTGGTACCTTCCCAGGGAAGTATGCGTGCACACTGGCTAGGGAGGAAGGATGGCAGAGTGGTTTCCTATAGCTCTGAGCTTTACAGAAGCATAGGTGAAAACCTTTATTTGCGCACTAAACCAAAAGAGAACACTTCAGGATAATAATGGTTTTTCTGGAAAGAAAAGATTGTTCCTCTTCTTTGTTAGTCTCCTTTACTTTGGCAGAGAAAGAACATGCATCTGTCTTTGTCCTTTATTCACCAGAATTTATCAAAGTTTAAGAACATATTCAAGAACTTATGATTTGTTTACAGCTAAAATGAGTTAGACTGTGTGTGTGTTTGTGTGTACGTGCACGCGCATGCGTTTGTGTCCATGCAGATAGAGTCCCAAAGATACCTTCATGTGTTGTTCTTACGGGATACTGCCCACATCATTTGAGACAGGGTCTCTCATTGGCCTGGAGCTTACCACCAAGAACAAGCTGGCTAGCCAGTGAGCCACAGGTATCATTCTATCTCTGCCTTCCCTGCATGGGGATTACAAGCGAGCACCACTACACCTGGCATTTCTCTGTGTGTTTTGAGGATTGAATTCATGTTTACTTAGCAGACACTTTACTGAGCCCCTTGAGAGCTGATGTTTACTTTTCCCTTGAGCCTTGAGGGAGCCATGTG